GCAGTAAGGCCAGGAGCTACTAGTAGCGTCCTTGCTCCTAGTAGCGAGTAGCTTGGGGGTTCTGCTGATTCCTTCGGACGGAGCGGTGGAACTGGTGACCACCGAGGTGCCTGAGTTCTCCGAAGTGCCGGCACTCAAGGGCCGCGAGGCGCCGTGGTCCTGCGCCGGCACTCGGGGATCAAAGAGATTGTGTGAGCCACTTGAAAGTCTTTTGGTTTGGACACATGATCTGAACACTAGTTCATGGCTTTTGCTTTAACACCTTTTGCACCGCTTGCATCGGGACACAAGTCTGAAGACACGTTTGAATTCTTGGGAGATGCAACTTGAAGAGGGCGTGAGCAAACAACAAGCCAAGACCCGCAGAACGAATGGAGCAATGTCCCTCAATGGTGCACGTAGATGGTACATAGAGGGCAGAGGTGGACAAAGTCTCTGATGAATGGCAAATTTGTGATTGGGCGAGAGGTTCTCGGGTCGTTGGTACATGTTGGTACGTAGGTTTGGATGTTAGGTACCGGAAGACAACACCGTAGTTTGAAGGTACTTCGGTAATTACTGTGATCATCGTCTGACAAAGGGCCCAGGAGAGAGATGCCCCAACTTCGTTGGTGCACCAGCCGCCAGTGATGGGCTTGGTTTTGGCGAGAAACTCGCTTCAAGGCACAGACCCTGGGTTCTACGGAGTGGAAGTCAAAGAGGTCTGTACTGCACTGGTGTGCAATAAATAGAGATGAACACAGATGAACACGGGGGCGAAATGAAAGTTGAAATTGTAATTTGTGCAGGCACAGGCACAGGGCGATTATCAGTCCACCCTTCTTTCATCCTGATGCAATGTTGGCTGCGTGCAGACAGCAAACCCTTCAAGAATCCTCAATCGACAGTTTTCAGAGCACCCATTTTTTGCCAGGTAACTCTCAACCACTGCGCCTCCCAATCAACAACAGTGTTGGACCTGTAAAATGACCGGATCTGGGAAAACACCTCTTTTCCACAAAGCACAAACCTCTTTTCCACAGGAGCTCGGATCACATGAGCCTCCTGTGGAATATGACCCTATGCTGCATTAGCCAGGTCCGTTTCGTGGCGGCTGGCCCATTCTATTCTATCGCCATCACGGCGGAGGTGGGGTAAGCGGACTTCACGGAGTGAGAACCTTTTGGAGTGGTAAATGCCATAGAACTTAGCATCTAGAAAGGAAAAACACATGCTTTGCTGAGTGGTCTGAGTGGTTTGGTCATTTTTGAGAGACACCAGCAAAAGGGACGCAAAGACGTTTCTTTGCCTCAGAGCAGGACACTACAAGCCTAGGCTAGCAAAGCATTCCACTTTGGCGTGATTTAGGCTTCTTCTTTCAGACAGGATGGTAGAGGCCAAGCATGCCTCGTGTGGACACACCAAACCAACCAGCAATAATTGGCAAAACATATGTGCGGCGGCATTTATTTCTTTAGTGTCATCAAGCTAAAAGTATCTCGTTTATGTGGGGGATTGTGGGGGCCCTATCTCGTTCACAAGCGAATACTGATGATAGACAAGCAATAGAGCATGCCTTAAGGGGCTACCCCTCCAAATAGACATTAATGTAACATATAGATTATACATGTAGTTATGCAGTTTTATACATACTATCACCATACCTGTCAACTACTACATTCAGGATTGGCAAAGAGAAGAAACATCCTGTCCGGTTGCATCCGGCTTTGCCTCTCAGTGCGACGTCTACTCCTGGGGCAAAGCCTTCTACGGCGAGACGGGGCTCTTCACCCAGGCGTCCTTCGCAAGGAGTTGAAATCAATGTGATGTCTCTCGACGGGTTCTCTTGATCGAACTCACCCGTATTGCCTTTCAAACGCGGTTAGGAGAACTTGGGAAGTGTTGGTTTGGGGGAGTGAACATGTGTCAAATGCTTTCGGAAATCAAGTGGAATGTACGGAATGAACTCGAAGTATTTTTTTTGCTGGGACCACTGTTCTGGTAGATCGAGGCTTGTTGGTTCTCCAGGCTTTGAGCAAGTCAACCATGAATCATCCAGAGCATGTATATACACATATATATATATATTTGACAGATAAGTCTGGTGAACAAGTTGTGAGTCTTACACCGTTCCATATCCCAGGTTTGTGTGGACAGTAGGATCTCACCCCTCTGCTCTGCCAGGTAGAGGCAGTGCCACGCTTCGCCGCCCAGGTGGACGGCTGATGAGTGCACGAAATAAATATAGACAAGATTATAGACAAATGACTGGGTCTAAAGCTAGATGTAGAAGCAACTCCGCAAGAGATTCTTCTAGCGCAAGGGCAGATGAGGGGGCTGGCGCATGCTGAACGGCAGATGAGTCCAACGGATCTGTCACTGATTTGGCCGAAGGCATCACATGCATGACAAATACCACGACATCTCTGAAGTCCTAAAATGCATCGTAACCCCAGCACAAGCTATTCTTCTGTGTGTTGCAAGCTGGTTTGACTGTTCTTCTCGTCCACAAGAGCCTGGATGGAAGAAACGCTCTTCAGGTGACGCCCTTCAAGGTCACGCAGGACAGGGAAAGAATACAGGGTGTGGACAGGGAGAGACGTGGAGCATACACCAGGGATACCGGAGCAGATGTTGATCCTTTTTCACCTAGGGCCTAGGGGGAGGGAAATCGATGATTAAAGACTTGTCCTGAGGGTTTATTTGTGCCAACGAAATGCACTGAGCAGCATGTAGTTCTTCCAAGGCTCTCTACCCCTCTATGACCTTGTCTTGCTGGTTCGAGTTCAGGTGAGCTGTGGCCATTCGCATGTCCTTGCACGGACGCAGATGCAGCAGTGTGTCTCATGGGGTTGGCGGCTTAAGACGATGCTTGACGAGCTTCGCAAGGAGCAAGCGACACCAAATCAAGATCCTCTTACTCTTCGAGTCAAAGCAACACTATTTTGGGCATTGGGCCATTTGCTTTTGTGGGGACCATGCAGCAAGGTGCAGTGCTCACAAGGCATCTCCATCTCAATTCTAAACACTGGGGTTGAAGTGTGTTGACCTGGGGCCACTTAGCTTCACATCATGGGCAAACACGTGCAAAAACAGTCAATTGACCACACCAGGGACTTGCAGGGTTTGTCAAAGATTTTTGGTACTTTCAACACCTCTGATATCCTGAATAAGAAGGCATATCACTCAAATAATCCAATGTACCTCTCAGTCCGTCTTGCCAGTTTGACTAGCTCTCAGAAACTCTGAGGCGAAAACACCTGTGGCCAGTTGGGCCCGGGCTCACAAAACGGGGTCTAGCGCAATGTATTGAGCTTTCACACCCGAAAACTTGGGAGCTGCAGTGCTGCTGTCTGGGGATTTTCAGAAGTGGGCAGGCGACCCCCACCTCCACCAATCTTGTCAACGAGTGGGTACCTTGGTGGGGCCCTCCTTTCGAAAAGAGCTGTCCAAGTAACTCATAGAGATCATTTTTTTGAAAGCATTTGAGTTGGACAATATTGACATTGTTTAAAGTCTCTTTTGGTTGTTACCCCCTGCCACTGAACGCAGATGCATTCCCCGGTGGAAGGGATATCACTGGGCCGAAAGGACCATTGTTATCAACTTGGCGGACGGAACTGGCGATATCAGTGTATCGCCAGGGAAGCTTATTGACATGAAGCAATATGTGGGCATCCTGTGGTCCAAATGTATCCAGCTTTGGCATGCATCTCAGCTGATCATTTTGCAGCCTTCCATTCTAATTGTATATCAACTGCCAGTCTACTTTAAAGTAAGCTGTTAATCTCTTCATAAGTGAGTTTTGTTAATCAATCGTCCACATTTTTCCCAGATCGCGTGCACAGATTTCCACGTATTTGAAGACACCTACCTGGCTAGTGGTGTGAAGAACCAACTCACCTTCCTGGTACTACCAAACCATTGTTCCGAAGACGTGCCCCTTTCCCTTGGTTTCAACAATTTCCACAGATTTCAAGAGCAACACCTGCACCGCAGCTGCCAACCATTGCCGAAGAAAACGGTCTGATGCAGTTTCAGCATCCCAATGCCGAGGCCAACGTCTTCATTGCTACTGGTAGCTTCTTGTTACTAGTAGCGATGGCCTCCAACCTACTTGCGATGGCCTCCACCTGATAGCGTCCTTGCTACTAGTAGCTTCTTGTTACTATATAGTAGCAATGCCAGCTACTAGTAGCGTCCTTGCTCCTAGTAGCGATGCCCTTTGTTACTGGTGTCGCAACAAGGTCTGGGCCAGAAATCCAAGCCCACCTACAAGCCGCAGCTCTTGAGCACCATCCCGTCGCAGGTGTGCGGCGTACGCAGTCACGGGGGTATAATCATTGTAATCATTGTAATCCACGGGAAGTTACCAGCCGTATTGGCACACATCGTCTTATCTGTTGCTTCGGTCATTCCTTTGCCCGGAGTTCACTTGAGTATTTGTGAGGATCTTGCATGCATGTTCCTGCTAACTTTGGGTTGGGTAGAAGATCTGATGATCTGCAACAGGGAAACATGATAAATGGACAGTATTGTGCTCGCTCCGAGTAAAAGATTTCGAAAGGAGTAGCGGAGTACCTTGTTCCTATCACCGTTTTGTTGAACTTGACAATATTTGTGATGGTCCTAGGCGAGGATGGTCTAATAGGTCGATGGCTTCAGTAGTCGAAACAGCGGCTTCTGGTTCAAGCCAAAGTCTTTTGGGCTTTCGGGAGCGTTAATTTTTCTGACGCCTGCCTCCAGCTAAATCCCTGACATTGACATATATTCAGATGCAAGAAATCTTATCTGCAGACGCGAGCAATCATTCTTGGTTAACATGAACACACCTCAATTTCACTCTTCATTCTTCACAGGCATTCAAGCAAGTCCTTTTGAGAGTACACGAGGACCTCACCAGAAGGAACTCTTCCTTGATTCCTAGATTCACGGGCAAAAGAGAATGGCCTGGATTTCTATTGCATGAAGAGTTTACATATATATATGTGTATACATGCTGTACAGACATGTTTCTTTTCCCCAAACATTAAGCTTAGGGGCCTTAAGCCACAGCAGGTTCCGGAGCAGGCAGGTTCCGGAGCAAGTTCTTCCGGAACAAGTTCCGGAGTGAGGAGATTCCGAAGCAGGTTCCAGAGAAAGTTCCAAGTTCCGGAGAAGGTTCCGGAACAAGTTCTGGAGCTGGTTCTGGAGCAAGTTCCGCGGAGCAAGTTGGGGAGCAGGTGCCGCAGTAGGTTCCGGACGAGCTTGCAGGGGAAGTTCTGGAGCTGTCTCTCTGATGCGCTGAGGCGTTGCCACCCCAATACGCTGACGTGATTCGTGTTGTCCCGCTGATATGTTTGTGGTGTCACGGTGTCACGTGTCATGTTGTCATGCCGGGGTGGGTTCCGGAGCAGGCTTGCTAGTTTTTGCTTGTAGTGTGCTACTGTCGATGAAAAGGTTCACACCTTCTGAAGACAGCGTCGTCTGGCAGCTGGCAACGACGTTTGTTGGTGAACTTGCGACGGTGCCATTGCCTTAGTAGGCGGATTTGTTGCCCGGCTGTTGGTTCTTTTTCATGGGCTAATTTGCTGGTAGGGATTTGGAAGACAACACTAGCCGCTAGCCACTAGCCGGCAGGTTGCGACAGTGTCTGCTGGCTGGGTGCTGGGCTCAGCGCGATTTGCCTGAGAAGGGTTATAGGCTTGGTTTTGCTGTTCCATGCTACACATTCCACTCAACTTCAGCGGAAACATGTGGAGACAATGTTCCGACCAATTAGACGGTCCCATTGGAAATGCCAACTCAAGTTCGATGGTCAGGCACACTCAGTTGCAGTTGGGACAGACGGTCGTGTGGCACTTAGTGGAGGAGCAACCATTCCAGGAGACTAGCTGCGCTTCAACCCTACTCAAAACCTGACAGGAATGGACTCCTTTCTTTAACGCAGGTCAGTGACTTCTTGCTTTAGTGTCTCCGGATTCTGATACACGCAGGTCGATTGACATCGATTCTGATTAACGTAGGTCAAGCAAAACACATGTTTTCTCCTCTTGATATCAGGTGCATACTCCTGGGGTCTCAACTCGCATGGCCAGTTGGGAATTGGTGATACCACCACCAGGCGCGGTGGCCCCGATTGGGAAGCATACTGCGGCAAAGTAGGCATGAACAAAGGTTGTCGCTCAAACCAAAGGCTCCACAAAACAATATGCTCTCTACTACTAGTCCTCCTCCTTTTCCTCCTCCTCTTCTGTCCTTTTTCAGTGCGTCTCTCTTTTTTTTGCCATTTCTTGAGCCATGGCCCGTAATTACAAAGGACGTGGACCTGGGCCCTGCATCCAGTGATTTGTCATGCTCTGCGGAAGGCTAGCGCCGCACCTCCTGCATGATTTGGTGGGAATACATGAGGCAGACCCGGCGTTGGTTGGACGAGACTGTGTTCGGAGTTCGTCAAATACTCAAAATTTCCTGGACAGAAAGTGAATCATAAGCACTGGGAACCCAGTGCGGCGTGGGTTGAAGAACCGTCACTTACCCGACAAAGCATCCGGATGTTTAGACTACCCACAAAAGATGGACAAAGTACTGTCTATTTGCCAGGATTTTTGTGAGCACTGTTTGGGAACCATGGTAGGTTGACATGCCCGCAATCAAGATTCTTTATTTGGGAGGTCAACCATGGTGGGGTTTTGACCCACAGCATCCCACAGCTGTCATGAGTCGTCATGTGAAAAAAAGATCACCGGTGCACGCAGCGCAGCTGCTGTCTCTTTTTGACAAGGGTGCGACAGTAGCTTCTTGTTCCTAATAGCGATGCCAGGAGCCCCTAGTAGCGTCTTTTTTTTGACAGGTCACCGTTGTTGGCTCAGGTGGTGGCCTGTGAGGCGGCTCGTGCCTTCACCATGTTCCGCACCAGCAACCGAGCCTTGATGTGTGGACAGGCAGTGAGGGAAGTGACCATCGTGGGCCGTGGGACTGTGGATCACCGTTCAGCTGGGAAAAATCGTGGACGCTTCAAAGGTCTGAAACCTGAAATCTGAAATGATCCCTTGGAATATACACTCTCGGTAGGCGCAGGTTGCAGGGCCTTGATACCAGCTCAGGGCTTTCAAAGGACACTATGAACCCTTGACATCCCTTGACCACTTCAATTACGTCCTTGAGTTGCTTTATGTGTCTTCTCGACTCGAGGCTCGGCAACAGACCTGCGGGTTCTTCCGTCTTCTCTTCTCTTCCGGCCGTTTCATTCCATCAGATCCCGCCGGACCTCACCAACACCGTGTCCTTGGACTTCGCGCCGCACCGACCTGGGAAGCACGACCCGGAGGGCTGTATCCTGGCACCGGCCGGGAGACCCCAAGGAAAGGAGTGGGAGCTTGGGTCAGTTGTGGAGCTGGGAGATTTGACAGATTTGAAGACAAATGACATGAGCCATGTCCATGTTGAAGATTTTTGGGTCTTTCTGTGAACTGATTTTCCGGCCTTGGTTGGATTGAAACATATTGAAACACTGATTCACTGATATTTGTTTGAGGTGCCGCTGAATCTCTCCACAGGGGAGCAGGGCTGCAAAGGCAAGAGAGGGCCAAAGCACATGGGGAGCCGATGAGAACATATTTTACCTTACTTGACCTGATATGTATATATAACATATATATATTTATAGGTTCGTCCCCAGCGGACTGATATTTCACTGCCGGAGCTACAGGAGTCCGCTTGAATGTTAGAATGCGTTGCATTGTTGGCTTTGCTAGTCTCCCAACCTGGTTTAGCACCTTCTCAACGATAGAAGTTGAATGAGAACGGGATGAAATGAGTCAGGTCTCCTGAGTCTCCTGCTTTGCGCTTCGTCTTAAGCTTGACTGCTTAGTGAGTGGCTGTCACTTTTTCGTGGAGTTTCCAACGTGTTTCTGCATCTGCCAGGTATGGCCGAGCTGTCCGAAATCGTCGCATTCGACAAAGGTGGGGCGCCCTGAAGTGTCCTGCTTTGTTGGACATAGGCACAGCCCTGACACCCTTTTCGGTACTGTAGGACTCCTGTAGGACCAATCTCAAATCCTTGCAAATGAAAGTGATGGTTGCATGTTTTGACCTTTCAAACGACCCATGATTTGCATCACCAGCTAAGCTGCTGACATGACTGGTGAACGCATGCAAATACTCATTGGATTGGATTGCAGCGATGCAGGAGCGATTGCGTTCGCTGGGGTGCCCAGGGCTGCCATCTGGGCAAAGAACCGCTAGTATCCCTATAGTGATTCAGGGCTTGGATTGAAGGAATTCGACAAACAAATCCAAACGCTTTCAATCCGTCATTATCAGAGGTTGTGTGTTGGAGCTGGTGGCTGGTGGCTGTCCGTCTACTTGTTTGGTACAAGCAAGCACGCGCAAAGGATGAAGGCTGGTCTTCACGTCTTTGTATAGTCCCATGAGCTTCAGGTGATATCTATAACACCTTCATTGAACTGACCAGAACAACTGAACTCAGAGTTGACCGGTCAAGATCTACGGTTTTCGTGGGGGTCACCGGTCACCTCATGAATTCTCTTTCAGGCCAGGAGCAGCGTCTACAAAGTGAGCCCCAACGTGGCACCTATCCAGGGCGGCACCAAGGCGGACGTCGGCGACGGAAAGCCGGTCACCGGGATGGCCAGATGTCTCCAGGTGGAGGTCGATTGAAGTGTTTCTACAAGCAACCTGATAGGAATGGACTCCAACCTACAAGCCATGGCCTCCACTCCACCCTACTATTTTCAAAAAAGAGACGCGCCAGAGCAAACACATATAGCTCATAAAACGTTCATTTTCACTTTTACTTGTGTGGATTGTTTCGATCAAGTGCTGGGCAAGGGTTCACACTTGAGAGAGCGAGCATCTTAGGACCACAACCCTTCCAAACGGACTGCAACTCATCAACTGTATTGTGAATCACCGCACTGAACCAATAGCACGCCTCTTCCGTTGAACAGATACATCATGGGACATGTGGCAGGTGCGTGCATTTGTGACCGGGATCCCGTGCGTTTGTGAGGAGGCCAGATTAGTTGTGCGTGCGTGTCGTCTCATCGACTCTTTGGATTAGGAATCCAGACCCCCTCCATATTTCTCCATCTCTCTGTTTTCAAACTTCAAATAGAAAGAACAAAAAGCAATAGGATAGCAAAAGGGAGATTCCATTCTTCTGGACCGGATGCGTTTTGGACACGCATGGGACCGATGGCGTGGTCGTGACGGTTCTTCAGGGAAGTCCAGAGCCGATGAACGTCCAGGCGCCGTTTCTGAAGCGACGCAACGGGGCGCAGCGACGCCGGACGCCCGGACGAAGACGTTTGAGGTTGCATGTTGCAACATGGCGGGCTGTTCTTTTTTTGAGTCCTTTTTTTTGAGCGGCGGAATTGTGTCGCGAAGATGCTATGCATGGACCGGCCTGGCAGGTTTTAGTGCTGTTGGGCTGTTTGGTTTAGGTTTTACGGCACGTTTTTTACACGTGTCAAACAACTTAACAAGGTCTCTTCAAGAACCTCGGGCCGCACAGAGGCACATCGGGTCGACTTCTCCGCTGAGCTCTGCCAGGTCCGCCTGAAGTCTCACTCGCCGAACTGCGACCTCATTGTGCAGGGGCAGGTGGTCGAGAAGGACGAAGACTCTGAAGAGACACCTTTCATCAGGATTTCTGTTTAACTTCACTGTTGATTATTTGTGCAGAGTCCCTGAGTGCCTTTGTGCAAGGAGAGGGGGACGGTGACATGCGGTGGTCGGATTCCTGTGTAGCTAGAGACAACTTGGTGACATTTGGAGAATGGGATTCTATTCTATTGTAATGGATTTGGAATCCTGGGATGGCTTTGGCATTGAACTCATTTTTCGGGTTACTACAGGGACACAACACATCTCAACAGCTTTGCAGGACATTGTTGAATTTAGTACTCCTGATGCGCGACAGCCAAAGGGGTTCAGTGAGAGCAGTTGGTTTGTCAACATCCTGGTGTCTCATTGGGCCACCAAAACAGTTGATGATCATTTTGTAGCTCTCACAAAGAGAAGGCACGAGAGCTTCAACCGACACGATCCTTAACATAACACAGTCTTGCGAGTTTGGCCTCCCAAATTGTGATGCAATCAAGCATAGAACTGTAAAGGTCATTAAAATATAGAGTAGCGATGCCCTTGTGACTAGTCTAGTAGCTTCTTGTTCCTAGTAGAAATGCCAGGAGCCAGAAGCTACTACTAGTAGCGTCCTTGCCGCTAGTTGCGATGCCCTTGGCTGCATTTGCTCCTAGTAGATGTTTCAAAGGACGATTGCTAGGATTCCTGGAATCTGTGGTCTTGCTTTCACGCACTCGTGTTCTCCTTAGGCCTCGTGTTCTCCTCTGGGTGCTTTGGTGGAGCAAGGCACCACTCTGCCTGTCTCTGTGCGTGTCTTTGGGCCGCAGCGTCAACGGTTTCTTGAGCATGTCTCAGGCCTGACGTGTTAAGGGACGTGTCTAGGACCCAAAATGTCTGGGGAGTCAGACCGTCTGACTCAAAATGAGAACTAGAATATGCTACCAGGACAGTGGGAGTTGGGGACTTGAGGGTTCATCCACACCTACGTGGATGTGACACCACCTCCAAGTGCTATGGATGTGTTGAACCAGGTGCAGGTAGCAGAGGTACACCTCAAAGCGAAAGGGAGGTCCTAGAGGCAAGAGCAGTCAACACCGATGAAGCATAGATGCATATAGCGTCATCGGTGCCCCTTTCTTCTCACGTCGGTGCACCGATGAAGCGAACTGCAGCGAACTCAACACCTTCTTCTCACTGCGGCTCGTGCGAAGCATCTGAGGTTTCGGTGGATGGTGGCTTCACCTGGACGCGGCTTGGCTTGAAGGGGATACTGATAGCGTCCTTGCTCCTAGTAGTAAGGCCAGGAGCCCCTATTAGCTTCTTGTTCCTAGTAGAAATGCCAGGAGCTACTACTAGTAGCGTCCTTGCTCCTAGTAGGGCCCACAGGCAAGGGGCCCCTTGGAATGCAAAAAGTGGCACGAGCCCCGAGCTGAACTCCTCCCAGGCCGGATCGTACTCCCATCGGTCGAGAACTGGAGCAAGCCATGAGGCTCGATGAACGGTGGGACTCTTGATCACCACGTGAGCAAGGGTGAATGATGTCAATGATGTCAGTTTTTTTCGTCACAGTCATATGCATTTCTGTGGCAAGGATAAAGGCTCCTTGAGATCCAGTCTTTCCTCTGCTATGACAATTTTAATCAATTCTGCAGCAACAAGACAGTAATGAACAATCATTCTGCTCACCCTCCTTTGAATCACCAAATGAGGGGAGTCAGACTAGGTTTTTCATTGAGGCGGGGAGAACCATGGAAGAACCTCTTCATTCGCTGAGCGATTGGCCGGCTGCCAGGCAGCTTCCCAGTGAGCAGCAAGCTGCCGGCTACGGCCTTCCACAAGGCGAGGTCCTAGGTGTTGGCCACGTGTGTTTGTTTGTGAACAAATTTCTTGGTCACCTTGTTGGGCGATCCGTGGATCCAAAGCTACACAATGCGTGGAATTCTTCAACCCTAATAGTACTGAGGACAGAACATGTACCCTCAGCAACTCGCACTGCCTCATTCTAAGTGTGGAATTTCTCTTGCGACGAGCTATCAGATGCAAACAGCAAAAACAGAAAGCAAGAGGAGATATCAGATAGACGCGCGGTGATTTCTTGCAATCGAAACTGTACTGGTAGATTGACATTTCACCCGAGATCGACGCTGCCAGGCAGGAAAGACATCAATAAAGAGCTCACGGACTTCAAGGGTGACTTTGAGGCGCTGGCGTTTGCATGCAGGAGGGACGTGCACTAGCGTTGGCGGAAAAGACTCTGTCCCCGTTACTCCGTTACTGTAGTTAGTTTTGTTGGACATGATTTGCATATCTGCCATGTTATGACATCTGAGAATCTGAGATACAACATGATACAACCAACTTTTAAGATCTTTTAAGGATCCTGTCACATCAATTGTGGCCATGAACACCCTGACGATTCTGCCTGGACAGCAGCATCGCCATGTCCTGGAACCAACACGCAGCCATATTAATTTCAGTGAGCTTTCTTATGGACTCTCCATCATTGCATCATCCCCAATAAATTGCCCAAGACTGGATCACCACATTGGAAACGTATGATATAATACATAACAAAATCATTCCAGAACTAATTAGTGCTGATATCATGAAAAGTCTCCAAACATGAAGAACTGGCCGGCCACTTTCAGGTCCGCCGGCGCGCACTGGCAGTGACCTCCCAGAGCTCCACCATGCTCTGGTTCCTGGGCCGAAGTTTCGCAACCACGGGGCATCAAACCCGGCCGCGACAGCAACATAACAACATGCTACTGGTAACATTGCAGGCAGACTTGTTATGTAGCCAGTGACAATAGCACCAAACATGTAATGTGATTTGCCCCAACTCGTTCTCATGCCAGCGGGCTTTGAGAGATTTGTGTGTCGCAATCTTGCAAAAAGGATCAAACAGTTCTATCAAGTCGAGGAAGCTCCCCGCCTGAATGCGTCCAAGTCCAAGGTCTCCCCCACCCCGGGGAAAAGACATCATCGACAGCCCTGAGGGCCTCTTTATCCCGACTTGCGAGAGTCCGAAGCGTGGAACATCCAGCCTAAGAGCCAACTATACTAGTATATGACTTCTAGCTACTAATAGCGATGTACTTGTTACTCAAGTCGTGGAACCCGTTGGATTCTTTTGGGCAAGACCTTTTGACCCCTCATCAGAAAACGAAAGGGCTGTGAGATTTTGAAGAGTAGAACCCCGTTGTCTTCGTTGTGCCTCCAAGGTATTGTCGATGGCCTGCTGAGGGACCTTCCCAAGTCGAGCCAGGCTGGAGAAGCGAGTAGCGTCCACCACATGCCACCTCAAGTGAGTATATATAGTAGGCTGTGGGTCCAAACCCATTGGGACCTTGGTTGACCCCTGACATGAAAAAGGTGACATACTAGCGTGACGCGCTGGGTTCAGAAATTGGACGTGTTCGCACTCTGTGCACCTCTGGGCCTGGGGGCGGTTAGGGCCTCATATGACATGTCGATAGTGATAGTGACTCATGTGTACGCTTCCACTGGTGACTCGTTTTACGTCGTTATGATTTTTTTGAGAAAATCACAGATTGGCGTGCGCAGATGAGTCATAAAGTTTGGTGGTGTGCGTAGAGTGTGTGCGTACATGAGTTGGACATCATGAATCTGAGTGCATGTGCAGATGCCAAAAAATCCCACAGTGCCCAAATGAGTCTCTTTCCCTGGCGGCGGGGAAGGCAGAATGTGCAAGAGAGACATGCACATGAATTCCCAGAAATTTGTAGGGGTATTCCAAAATGAACCCTTGCATGAATGAGAATCGGATCTATATATGTGGCTAGAGTCGGAAAACAGTCGTTGGAATCTCGTGGGTAATATACCCTTTTGTCTTTATATAAAGATGTGTTATTCTGGCGACGTGGAACACCATGGTTCCTGGTTGTGGGTGCCTTTGCGTGGTTGTCTCGGTCTGGAGTCTGGAGTAACCTGGTGTCTTCGAATGTGACTAGAATCAATTTGATTAGAGTCACAAACATAGACTCACAAGCAGAATTGAACTCGGAGTTGTTAGTAGCACACCCTTTTGACCTTGGGACATCCCTCATGAAGTTTTTGCATCGAACAACTTCATCTGCGGAAGCGGTTCAAACAAGGCTTGCAAAAAATCCAGCGGACACCCACAAACAAATATAGGCCCGGTATGGCACGGTATTGAAATACTACAAATCTGCTACACCTACTCACTCCAACGGCTGCACATGAACCAATCCCCAGGTACAATGCTCTAATGTTCTTCTGCAACTGATCGAATAGTTGATTTGTTGAGGACAGATGAGGCTTTCTGTTTTTGCTGTTTCCAGGCTGTGCCACGGTAGCTGGAGGCAGGAAGTGCAGGGAATCTCCCCGGTTTCAACTCCAGATTGGGAGGCAGCAGAAAATTTGAGAAGGGATTGAACATAGGACCATGGGACCTTATTTTTGAGGGTGGAGACCATACAAATACAATCAAATAGCTCTTTGTGGGTTGTTGCTGGCGTAAGTTTACAAGTGTCGCTGCAGTGAACCGGACGTAGGCCAGCGTGATTTGTTGCCTTCCTGTGCGTGTGTGGCTTTCTTTTCTCTTGCTGGGTTCACTTGGGTTTTTGCATGGAAGTCTTGCATTTCCAGGAGCTGATCTGGTAGAGCCAGTTGATGCTCCAGTACGTTTTGTGTCAAGTGTCACCATCAAGTCAATATCTCCATGACCTGATCACAGATCCTCTTGCAGGGTTGGATTGGGGAGTTGAGGACGTCTGAAAGAGTCAAATCGACTCATTTAGTCCGAGAGTCGCACAAAGAATGGATGTGGGAGACATTGACGTGCAGCAGAAGAAAGGCTCCTGAACAACTCCGTTTGGGACTCTGTCCCACCGTCCCGCATGAGGCACGGAGGTGCTCATCCATGTGGCGCTGCCGGCCCGCATGCCCACGGAGAACCTCACGGCTGGGGAGCACGGCTCGTTTGAACGGCACGGGTGAGGGCGAACCTCAGCTGTGGCTGGCATATACGAATGCAGAGTCCACCAGAGTGATGTTGGTCTAAAATGACGCTTGCCACGCCTGAGGTGAAGTTCCTGTGCACACCCAAGAAGACCCTGGACGATCCAGAGCTGGAGGTGTGAATGGCCGATGTGTTGGTGAAGAGTAGGCGATCCAGTGCCAACAAGTGGATGCTTGGAAGGTGTGAACTGAAGGCTTGTGTCTAAACTATTCCAAATTGGCTTGCTTGAGGTTCAAGAAGCTTTTTTGTTTAGCAAAGTGTCAGCTGAGTGCCTTGTCTCTTGCAAGAGAAGGTCTCGTGGCCTCGTGGCGATGCGTGGGTAAAATTTAAATGGTTTATTTAGTTCAGGGCTCACCTTTGGGTGAAAGTCAAGAAGAGCACTGAAGAGACGCTGCTAAGCTGCTAAACATAGAATGCCGCATGTCAAGGGTTTTTTGGTCCCTCTTGATGCTCACGAGGCACGTGCACCCATGCGCCGGGATGCGGCAGAGATCACCAACCCAGACAAGGAAACCATGGCCAAGTGTGGCAGCCAAGAAAGAGGGGAAGCCTGGACAGTGCTTATCGAAGCCAATCGAAGCCTTAGTAGCGCTGTAATCAGGTAGAAGCTGAAGTTCTTCTTCTCAGGGATAAAATTTGGTACTGTATACAGTGGCCTTGCACATTCTATCACCTCGTGTGGATGACCCGCTCCTTTACGTCATTTCAACTGCGTTGTGTAGTATCCGACGCTTGTACTATCATCATCCTGTCTTGGCAAACAAAATGTGGAATACAGTCATGACCTCCACTACTACATATGGACCCTGCGGAGCCCTATTATATCTCCATCGAGTCGGATGGATTCCTAAAGAAGATGGGATTGTGGTAATGCCAAGCGGCCATCAGGTTTTATTGCAAGTTCAATCAACTCGTGAAATCCGCATGCAACTGCGTTTAGCCTGGTCCACATATGTCCACCAAATTTCGCATCGCAAAGGCATCACGCCGCTACCCATTGATGCCTATATACAGCACAAAATTCACATGCATATCTCAGACCAAACTCTACGCCTCATAGCCTTGGATGTGACGGGGGGGTATCAGACGGGTGCAGTCAAAGCTATCTGGGACGGAAGCCAATCTCACTTTTGTGAATTTTGTGGCCAAGCTGATACGCATGCCCATCGACAACTTCACTGTCCTGTCTTTGGTCATGTTCGCGACAATCATAAGGAAGCAGTCACATTACTGGAAACTCACCCTAATTTGCTATATTTCCCCCTCGCGACAATCCATCCTCAACAAATTGTTTATAATCGACTCAAGTGGTGTCGTGTTGGCCCATTTCTTGATGTGCCTGATATCCAGCCTACAAGCCATTATGTCTTCTTCACGGATGGCACATGTGACCGCCCACGATATCAAAACTGTTGTAGGTCAGCCTGGGCTGTGGTCCAAAAAGTCTTTCATGATCCGCATGATCCCTCAATCAATCATTTTCGAGTCACACAAACATCGCATGCAAGAGGACTTCAATCAATTAATCGCAGTGAACTCGAATCGGTTGGTTGGCTAGTTAATCATTTCCACCATCATTTGCCTGAAGAACTTCTCTCTATTTATACCGATTCAAGCTTCGTTCAGAAAATTGTCGAGGCCATAGCGACCAACACACTAACTCCAAGACTCTTTCAACTGGCTCATGCGGACTTAGTTGCATTATTGCAGAAAACATGGGGAACCCGACACTCCATCAGATTTTCAAGATCAAATCGCACCGATCACTAGAAGAAGCTTCCGGGGTAGACGACCTTTATACCATTTTGGGCAATACCGCAGCAGATGAAACAGCTAAGATGATTAATAAGCGTGATCTTGAGCCGCTGCTAACTGCAACTGACTCCATATTTGTGCATAGCCAGAAGCAACACGACGCTTTGCGACTCATATATGCATATCTTGCAGAGCTCAATGCCTTGCACAGTCAGTTGAAAAAAGAAAAAGATAAAGAGGAGGCGGCTACTCATGTCTATAATACCCTGGATGCTATCTCTCACTACCAGACTCATTTACAGACTTGGAAATTAGGTGACGCATCTTGGAAATTTGATAGCCCGCTCGCTCCGGCTGTAGCACAAGCATGTCCAGCGGGTGCTAATACAGCCTTTCGTGTTTGGTCCTTTTTAAAGCAACTTAGTTGGCACCCTCCGGACATCCCAACTTTGGCTGATGACTGGGCATCACCTGGTATGAATTGGTTGTGAGCTATACTCTTTTCACAGGGGTGGCCTTACCTGTCTGGATTTACAGCGAGAAAGAACGTTTACCAACACCGTATGCATTTGACGCGCCAGAAGTTCAAATTCAAAAAGATGCTGCTAAGAGCTTGTGGAACCAGGCTAATACTTTGCGAGCTGTGGTACGTTATCTTGATAATACGTTAACAGAACCAATGATTCCAAAGTATAAGAAAACAGGTGCATCGTCGCTTGTCCGTCTTGGTTTCCATAAAAGCTTGGTTGGGGGCATTAATTCACGACCGGTCTTGCCTTATGCGGATAAAGTGATCCAAATTCTGTGTGACTATGCCTCTATGCCTGCGCAAACTTACCCACATCATGTTCGTTTACAGCTCCCGCCGATGCACTGTGCTTGCCCGCTCGAAGTACCTTTTGTAGAAATTCCATTCAAAAAGCGCAGTGGCCTATACCAGCGGATTAAGAAGTGCATACGTAACCACTTAACTCTGGAGACGATTGACATCGAGAACTGAGAGGGCAATTTAAAATCGAAATTAGTAATTCAGTACGGTTGATCACGTTTCTCTTTGCAATGTACATTGGTCAACCTCTGGTGTGGGGGATATTTTCGATATGTGGATACTTGTCTACCTTCTAGCACCCCACGTATGTGGAAGGGCTCAGAGGGGCGAACGTTCGGACTGTTCGCAAGTGAGTGTGTGTGGTACTGTATACAGTTTTATACCTTCAACCTAATCTTATTTGCTCCAAATGCTGGAGCGCAAATATAACTGTCTGTAATATAATTGTTTCTTTGTATGGAGCATGCATGCCTAGCATGCCTCACCAAGGCAGCTTCTTGTCACCCAACAGGATTTACCACACCAAACGACCTGGAAGATTTTGGTTGACCAAAACTAAACACACCAAAACCATTTGGTTGACCAAGCTTTTGCACGAGCCCTGCAAGGTTGCCGTTAGCTGGTGCTCTGGAAGTTCCTGCCCTTTGCCTCAGAAGATGCGCTTTTTGTGGCAACAATGTTATACTGCATATCTTTTATATTGACTGTTGTACTGTCGTACTCAAAAGGGATGGACGCTTCGGTAGAGCAAACTGCGGTTTACATTGTAGCATGGGAGCTGGCCTAGTCATACCTAAATGCCAGAAGGGCAGAGGATTTCTACTACGATAGATCGTTAGATTGAAAGCGGAAAAAGCTGAAGCAAAGGGAACGGCTGAAACGGCTAAAGGGGTTGGAACAGCGGACGAGCAATAACTGACCTGGATCCAGAACGTAGTAAGATCTGCTTTGCTACTCGTACAGTTCACATTCAGATGCGCACATACCTGTGCTTTCATACGCTTGTGTCTTTGTTCTGGGCAGATTTGCGGACCCCAATTGATGCACGCCTTCTCTCATTCTGTTTCCATCATGCTCGCCACTCGACCAGCTACCCGCTGGAGTACTGCAATAAGCTGATAACTTGAAATTGCACCTTTAAAGACAAAACAGGAACTGAGCACATGCTCATCGGAGAAACCCTTCAGCTGTCCAATGTGTTTAGTGAGTCTGGTGGCGGGGCTGACTAGGATCCAACCGAAGCACACCTAAATATGAGGATCGGACAAGACCTAAGGGTTTTGGGGCAGCCTGGTTCCTGGAACCGATGTTGTGCCTGACTCCTTTTGTGGCTGTTTGGTGCTTGCTTCTCCTCGTTTCCTCCACTTCGACTGGACAAGACTCGACTGCTCGGTCAGACTGAGGTCATCGCCTTCTTGGACCCTGCTGGCCGTGGCGTGTGTTGCGCCTCTCGGTGAGGATTGAAGTCGATTGAGCTACTAGGGGCTCCTGGCCTTACTACTAGGAGCAAGAAGCTACTAGTAACAAGTAGCTGGTGATCGACGGGTTGGCCGACCTGAATGGCCCGAACTGTTCGTGGATTCAGTTCGTGGACGAAGTCTGGGGGCGTTCATGGTGCAAGGACACAAGCTGTGGGTGTTTGGGCAGATCTTAGGAAATTGGAGAGAGGAAATTGGGGCTTCGGACCGGCTTCGGACCTGGTTTAAGTTTAGTTTTAGCATGTTTCAGCTTGGAAGCAGACTTCTCGCTCCAGGTGTCTCCTCCCATGGATGCAGAGTGTGTCACGACCTCGGACCGCTCGGACCACGGAGTTTGCGGCGCTGCAGCTTTGGTGAAAGTATTAGTCTTGCTGACGAATCAATTTGAGGGTAGTTTAAATCACCAACCAGAAACTGATATATCGATATCAATCCATATTATACTCGAGATAATATACAATTAATGTATATATAAAATATGATATCGTATAGTTCAATACGATATAGTATAGTGTATAGTGTATAGTGTATAGTGTATAGTATAGTACACTACAGTACAGTACAGTATAGTATAACATAACAAAATAACAATACAACATACTGTGTGTACATATAATAACCAAACATATACTAGCTTCTCGGATATTGCCAGCATGCTTGAAAACTGCACTGACACTGACACTTCCGGTACTTTCTGATGCATTTTCCTGTCACCTGTTTGTTTGGATTGTTTGACCCTTTGCTAGCGGGCATTCATGGCAACTCTTGGGGTCATACTTTTCTCAGCCCAGCTGGGGGAGTGTGCCACTAGGCCCTCAGCTGGAGGGACTCATGACAGACAGTCCTGCTGATTTCACTTACATGGACCAGAAATCTTTTCAGAACAACTTTAAGACAGTGGAGGTGCATTACTACGACTACTCAGTGATGGTGTCCTTGGATGGCCTCAACTACATGCAGCGCCGGGGATCCCTGGTGGGTGTGTCCAGGAGGATCCAGGAGGCTTCCCTTGGCTGACGCTTTTTCAAGCATCTAGAGATCTAGAGTTATATAGAAACATGTTTACTCGTTCAAACAGAGTTTCGTCAGTGAATTCCCTCGATGGTCTTCGCATTGTCCACGCTTTGTAAGCCCATTGGGCTTAGACTTTGAAAGCCAAGAATTTGATTTCTGGACTTTGAACAATGAGATCAAAAGAAGGAACATAAATGGTACTTCTGATTTGGATGAGTGAGACTTGCAAGAATTCTGCCCACAATGGATGGAAGTACTTGGTGCGAATGCCGTTTGTGCGTTAGATCTACTTTGGAACCCAGATATTTGAGGACTTTGAGGTGTAGAGGCATGTAGAGGCTTTTATCCACGATTTTCTTGTTGAGTCAGTCGAGCTGCAGATCCAGCTGAGGCAGTTTGCCCTTCAAGATTTTTGACATCCACGCCTGACACCGAGGGCCAGTTCGGCAATAGACGTGCACTGCATGGATCTTCATACTGTGCTACATCGAGGTGATCAAGGAAACATAGCGAAACATGGATCTAAGCCCTTTCATTTGCTTTCCTTTTGCTAGCAGTCTTTTCTTAAGTGTGCATTCAATTGCATTCATATTGATCACCATGTTCGCTGCTTCATCTCGATGCATTCGCAGCCCCAATTTCAGTGACAGGTGGCACGTGGCAAAGAGATGAGTTGTGAGTCATTGAACGATGTAAAGGTCGATCGGGATTCGCCAATCCCAGCTGGGTTCACATCTCCAACCACCATTAATTACTTCCATTTCACAGCCCATGTCGTCCAAAGATCCATCGAAGCTGACTACGAGTGGCTACCAGGCTCACCGCAAGGCTGAAGGCGAGCTGAAGGGTGCAAAGCCGCCGCAAGGAATTGAGGCAAAGATGGCACTGACGAGCCCCAATGATCTGAAGGTCCGAGAATTCCCGAGTATGGAGGCCTTCGCTAGTAGGTTGGAGGCCATCGCTATTAGAACAAGACAGAAAGAAAAGGAAGAATGGTCTCATATAGTTTGCTATTAGGTTGGAGGCCATTGCTTCCAGGTTGAAGGTCCGAGAATTCCGGAGTATAGCATTCCCAGTTTCGGCCCGAGCGTTCTTCCTCGAGCGTGCGGAATGCGTAGGGTTAATTGTTTTCGTTTCGCTTTGGGAGTCTGAGGGGTAGAGCGTTGTTCGCGTGGCGGTGCTTTCGTGTTCGCAACCGCTTGCAACTGTCCGTGACCGTCCGCAACCGTTTGAATGTGATCGATAAGGCCCTGCCATTGGGGAGTGGCGTTCGCAGTGTGATGTCTTGGAGGTGTTGAGTGTCGCTGTGCATTGGAATTTGCTTTTCAGGCCCTTGCCTCGAAGCTGTGTTTTTGCCTCACAAGAGTGTCCGACAAGTGTGTGCCACAAGAGGGTCTAACAGCAGTGTCCCACAATAGTATCAATAGTGTCCCACAGGACTCTGCCACAACATGTCCTACAAGAGTGTCCGACAGGAATGTCAGTGTGCGACAAGAGTGTCTCACAAGAGTGGCCTACAAGAGTGGCCCAAAACGTGTGCAAGGAGAGTTCCCCGCAAGACCCCACAAGAGTGTCAAGCAATGTTTTGCCGTCTATTTTCGAGTACGTGTATGCATTCGGGTTCGTGGGTTTCATCATATTTTTAAAACGATGTTGTGTGTTTAGCGGTCCACACCCGGTCCGCTCATCCCCTTAACTGCAGGGGTGGGGTAGTGGCCCGCCTGTCCGCCTAGTGTTGCGCCCGGGCATTCAACCCGGATCCGATGCATTAGGGATGCATCATAGCCACTTGACCATACCGGCCGTCATTGGTTTTAACCGATGTGCGGACTTGTGATGTTGGATGTGAACACCACTCACCTGTGAGTACAACTTGATGGAGCGGAATATGCTGAGTACCCGGCTGTTCCCATCCAAGGTGGCCTTTGAGATGCTGGATGTGAACAAAGAGGGAGTGCTGGGGAAGAAGCAGGCCGGCTACAACTTGGAGGGGCTTAGATTTTTCTTGCCAGAAGTGCAGGAGTGAAGCAAAGGATGTTCATGGATTTCCTGCTGAATGAGGCTTCTTTTGGATGGTCGGAATGCAGGGATACAACTGCACACTTCCCTCTCCTTTTGCATGACTTGGCTCTGGGAGCAATGCAAAGGGGGCAGTTGTTTGTTTGTGGTTTGAATCACCTGTGAACAATCAAGTGGGCAGAAGATCCGAAGATCATCTACTATGACAGAGGCCTGCTTCAAAACTATGAGACTCCATCAGGAAAATCAACATTACATTTCCCATGTATTATTTTTTCAAATTCTTTGGAAAAGAAGGATCTCATTATGATATCATTCTCATCTCATCTCATGATCTCATTCTCAGTGCCCTCCTCGTTCACAAGATCCACTGGACACCAGGCTCGGGACTTCCTCCGCTGTGCCGGGTGGTGCCTCCCGGACGACGACTTGGATGCGATGCTCCTCCCGCCTGCGGGGGCTGGGGTGGGCGCGAAGTCAGGAGGTGCAGAGGGTGCTGAGGGTGGTGCATGAGGCTATGAGGATTACGAGGTTTGACATGGTAGGACCACTGTAGGCGGTTTTATGATCATATGCAACTTGTAAGTCCATGTCGCTCTTTAGTGAAGTTGAGCGGAGCAAGCTTTTAAAGGAAACTGGGATGCGGAATGCCTTGTTAGCTTCACTGCAGTGACAAAACCCGTCCCAAAGCCAACTGTGCAACTGGTTGAATCACGCCGTTAGGAGCAGAGCGCACGAAGTGGAACTTAAGCATGCTGATGGACTTGCTGGCAGCCAATCAGGACAAACATGTTCCATCTTTGTCATCTCTGATGGGGAAGGGGGAGAAAGAGGACACCAGAGGTAAAATATGCCTTTAGGCATCCTTTGGCGTCCTTTGGCCCCCAATCCCAAAAACCTTCAAACGTCATCTCTTTTAAAGCATCCTTCGGCTGCAAATGTCTATCACCTTCTTCCCGGAGGACCGGGAGAATGTGAGCGTACAGGCCGTGCAGCAAGCGTTAAGGCGCTTGGCGAGCAACCGGGCGAAGATCAGCAAGGAGAGGATCTTGGAATTCATTGCCCAAGACCAGGAGCTTTCGGACATTTGGAGTGGCATTAGAACCTCATGATGGGAGGTAAAGATGAACCAGGTAAAGGATTCTGTTCATGTGCTGCGGGCACATGGTTTTCCCATGTCTTCCCAACCACTCGGACTCTAATCCAATTTCAACTTCAGACGGTCCCATCATTTTGAGACAGCTCCAGACTGAATGAAGGCATTGTTTGAAGAGGGCACTCATGGAGTTGATAAAATTGTGTTTGTGATTTGTGTCGTATTTACCCCGTGTGACTGTTGGATGTGGCCCTCTTCTAGTCAAGGATCAGGCCTCTTTCCGCAGTTTCCGCAGGTTTCAATCTTGACCCCAGCCACCTTGAACATGCCAGAATTTTTGCCTTTGATAATCTTTGTTCATATGGGGCAAATCCTTCACCATCCAAGATGGACAACGCCTTGAGCCCATTGAACATGTTCTCTATGTCGGGTGTTCACTAAGAGGATTTGAGGATGTTTACAACAAGTGGTTTCTTGACATCCGAGGAAAAGGACATCGATCAAGTGCTGGGAGCGATTGGCATGGGTGGAGCCAAGCTGTTGGACTGTGACAGCCTGGCGACGAAGCTCTTGGATTTTTGGCTGCCGGACAGTCATCTTTTAATATAAATATATACTTGTGCATATATCATATATATATATAGATATGCTGAATTTACCGATTTACCCGTGATTAGCAACTGCATGCACATGCAAAGGGTGATCGCTGATCGCAATATGAATACTGTATATATTTATATACACATAACTATTTATATAATATGAAGGTTTTCTATCCTTACTTGCGAGTGTTACTCTACCAAGTGGCAACCTTTCAGAGAAGAGGAGTTTGACCGGGTTTTGATACACTTGACCAGACCAGATCTTTTCAAATCCCAGGATCGAGTCTGCAATCCTCCCTCCGTGCTGGAGATGCACGAGCTTGGAACGTGATGGGACTGTGACAGAGTGAGAACGGCAGATGAGACGAGGGGTGTGGATTCACTGAGGCTCCTCAGGCCGCCTAAGAGAGAAACAACTTTGCACAAAATTGTGAACTCATCCGTTGTCTTTGGTATTTCAAGGTTGGTTTGCAGGAGAACTATCAGGATTCGCTTGTGTTTTTTGTCATTGACACATTCAAGGATTTTCTTGGTAGTTCTCCTGTTGACAAACCCTGTGATTGTGTGGTGCTGCTTGGACCACATCCGCATGGAGCAAGACTACAGTTTCACCATCTCGATTCAAGAAGCACCCAATGCGATGCAACTGGCCAAGGGCCATCAGTCTTGGGACACATACTGTGTACCGTCAAGAGGGGGGGACCTTCCAAATCCTTTCTCAAACTTGTTTGATTAGTTGAACATTCATAGTGACTCGGAGGTCCTCTGGTTTCATACAAAGAGATGCTAGCGGTGACAAGAGCCCTTGAACTTGTCCGCTGGCTCGTTTCTCGAGCGCAAACAACTCCGTAACTCTGTGGTTGCCAGCTGGACCACACACTCATGGATATGCATACGGACTTGATAGCGGTGCCACACGCCGGCCTAGGGTTCCATTTCCTAAGAGTACGAGTAAGAACCACGGAGCCTCGAGGTCTTCAAGAGGAAATAGGGCCAAAGTCTCAAGATCGAAGGCGACGATCAAGTCGACATGACGACGTGCGCTCTGGACTGCCAAATGTAGCTACCTGTGAGGTTCTGGGCTTAGCCTCATGCCATTCAGAAGACTCGGAAAATGGCAGGTACGTCTGGCTGATCAGGCCAGATATCCGCATGTACTGTGGCCGCTTCGTTGGACCATCGCTCACAGCACATGGATGGTCCCCCTGCTGTAAAACAAAACAAATGCAAAAGCATCCCTATGACTCCAAGGGTGACACACACACACGCCTCCCCGAAGGGAGGCAAGATTTTAAGCTCCATGCCGAGGGTAAGGTGAGACTAGGAGAATCAACTGAAAAACTAAGGCTCCAACAGGTTCCAATGAACCTCAAAAGTACTTCGGTCGCTCTGACCACGTTGAGGCGTTAAGCCAGCTTGGACCGCTGCGGTCACGTAGAGGCATGAGCCAACTTGGAATTCCAAAGATGGGACAAAAATCATCGGACGTACGGCCTAGGCCACCTTCGCCCGCTCTGGGCATCTACATCTCCGGGCAGGGGAGATATGACGTACACCCGTTCGACGGGTCCACGGGAGGCACTCTGCGGGCTCATCCCGGGTTGGCACGAGGCCAAACACACTCATGGATATGCATACGGACTTGATAGCGGTGCCACACGCCGGCCTAGGGTTCCATTTCCTAAGAGTACGAGTAAGAACCACGGAGCCTCGAGGTCTTCAAGAGGAAATAGGGCCAAAGTCTCAAGATCGAAGGCGACGATCAAGTCGACATGACGACGTGCGCTCTGGACTGCCAAATGTAGCTACCTGTGAGGTTCTGCCATTCAGAAGACTCGGAAAATGGCAGGTACGTCTGGCTGATCAGGCCAGATATCCGCATGTACTGTGGCCGCTTCGTTGGACCATCGCTCACAGCACATGGATGGTCCCCCTGCTGTAAAACAAAACAAATGCAAAAGCATCCCTATGACTCCAAGGGTGACACACACACACGAGAAGTTCAAGTATCCACGAGCCAATCCCAAGCCCTTGGGTTTGTTTCTACATCGAAGCCTGATTCCACACATTTCAAGATATTCTGCCAAGATTGCCAAGATTCCACTCCACACATTTCCACACTTCAGTCACTTCTGCGCGCTTGGTTTCTTTGCACCTTCAACCAGGTCATGGAGCTGGAGCCGCGGCTGGGGGTCTTGTCGGAGCCCACTGAGGCGACGCGCTCGATTCCATCGGTTCCTGCGGATTCCACCGGCGCCACAGAATTTCACAGGGATGCTGGTTCGCATGGTGAGCCTCATGGAAGCCTCATTCATTAGCTTGAGAAGATGTTTCAGCGGTCTCAAAAGGCCCTTGGTTAGAGAAAAACTTTATGGCACCATAAAACTGGAATCACCACGACGTGGGCTTCGTGGTGTTTCGGTGGCGATGACAGTCTCACGCTGGCGACAGGTGCGAGTGAAGACTTCAGGCTTCGTAGAGTCAGAGATCCTCAAGGTGCCTCGAGTCCGGGAGCTTCAAACATGGAGACATGGGGCTAGAAGCTACTAAACAAGGGCATGGCTATTAGTAACAGGTGCATCGCTACTAGTAGCTAAGAATCTACTAGTAACAAGGGCATCGCTACTAGTAACAAGTGCATTACTACTAGTAGCAAAGAAACTACTAGTAACATGGGGCATTCGAGAAGTCACCTCAGCCACCATGAGCCACCCTCGAAGATGGAAGGGTCAATCTTAAGCATTTGGCCTCTGTAGATCGAGTGAATCTGACTGGGTACCTAGGGTACAGTGGAACATGCGACGAAGTGCTCCAGTGCTGATGATCTACATGTCTCTAATGACTCTAATGGTTTGGATGGTTTTTGACCAGCGCTCACCAGGTCCGCTTGGATTTTCCCAAAGAATGCGGCAAAGGGCCCAAGACGGTGCCGGCGCAGTATGACCACACCTCCGGGGACCGCGTGGGTTCAGGGGAAACGGGAGGGAGATCAAGGAGAGGAGGTGGTCCCCTAGTAGCGTCCTTGCTCCTAGTAGCGATGCCAGGAACCCCTAGTAGCGTCCTTGCTCCTAGTAGTAAGGCCAGGAGCCCCCAGTCAGAGGAGGTGGTCCTGGAATATGAGATCCTACATTCATGTTCGGCGGTCTGGTGGAGACATACTTTCCGATGTTTTTTTAGTCTTCCCCAATCTGCACAGAAAAGCTGGGTCCATTCCTGTCAATCTTGCTGAATCTTGCTGTCCGCAATGTTTCGGCAAGCAGGAGTTATCAGCAGTTGTGGGTCCAACTTCCATTATATAATCATTCTTGATGATCGTCCAGATATACAACTGGATACAAGTTGATACAAGAGACAGGCTGGAGGCTGCTCCTCAATATCGATTAGCCTTTCTGGAGAAGGCCTTCCTCTTCAGTGGAGATCCGTTGGTGGGACGAGAACTTCCCAAGTCGCCGCCACCGGCCACGCGGTGACCCTCCGTGGCTGAGAGGATGTGGTTTTCACGATGCCTCCGCTGGATGTGCCGCGGAAGGCACGGCACGGGGCGATGAGACTCGTGCGACTCATGGGACTCGGAGTCTCCTTGATGCCGATCGCTAGTAGTGTCCTTGCTCCTAGTAGTAAGGCCAGGAGCCCCTAGTAGCTTCTTGTTACTAGAAGCGAGGCCAAGGGCTAAAGGAACGTGGGCTGGAGATTCGGAGCTTGAGATGCAGCTATGGCTTTTTGTTTGATAAGGCGGCGACAGAAGAAGCTGAAGGCAGGGTGGACTTTCAGCTCCGGCTTCTCGATTTCAAAAGTCACCGAGAAGGGGGTGTTCATCCAAGTCTCATTCAACATGTCGCCTGCAGGAGACGAGGCTGCGGACACTGGTTCTTCCGCAGGTTTTCCCAGATGAAATGGGAGAACAAGACCAGTCATATGGTTTTGTCACGTGTATGTTTGTCCATCAAGCAATAAGGCCTTGTACTTCTCTTTGAGATTTTGGTGAAAGCGCATCAATTGCTTGTCACCAATCCAACAAAAACAGTGGCAAGTTAGAAGACACCGACAGGAAACAGAAAGCCGTTGTTGAATGTTGTTTTGTTCTCATCATTGAAAGTCAAGGAAAAAGGCATATTCATATTCAAGTGGCTTGACATCCTGGTGTCTCACGCTGGCTGTATACAGCTCATTTGGACCTTGCCATGGAAATTATATAGTTGATTATAGTTGTTGGTTTTGCCGTGCTTAGAACACTTTGGAGCGGGGATGCATCTAGGGTTGCTACTGAAACAATTGGAGGAAGACTTCTCCAGCTCATTGTCCGCATGCCGTGACAATCGTTCCTCTAAGAAGACAGACACGCTATTGCTGCAAGTCTGCAAGAGTCTGCAAGTATCTCTTAGCGCAGAGCTTCCCCCACCACATCCCCAATTCAGGCATGTTGTTTGGAATGCACCAACTTCACTTTTGATGGGACGTGTTTTCACAGACCCCCTTGAGCAACCTCTGGGAGTCTCCGCTGCTCCGCTGATGGATTTGACAGAACCGCTGACCTAAGGCGACGGAGTCTGCTGTAGCTGGTGTGGAGGCGAGAGAGCTGCAACGAGCGCAGCCATGTGCAGAGATCGCCCTGGTGTCATGTGGTTTGCCACCGTGAAACCCTCGAGGCAGGTGATGGCAGGAATGTTGCCGAAAGAGCTCCCTTTGAGAAATGCGCATGGACACGATTCGACCCGACCTTCTAGTTTGGCAACTTAACCACTTTGCAAGGCACTCAACTTCAAAAAGGCCTGCAGCATGAAAGCTTTGCACAACATCTTAGGTCAAAAAGCACGTGCGTGAGCAGGGTCCCAATGGTCACGGGTGGCGTCACCTGGTTTCGACCTACGTTTGACCCATGTTGCAGGTCCCCAGTCACTCAGTCACTGGGCCACTGGGCACTGTTGGGTCACTGGAGCTTCCCCGCGTGGCCGACAGAGAGCTCTAGGTCTTCGTGGAGCTCTCGCTGAATGGGCAGAACTTTACAGAGGACCGAGCTAAACCGGAAGATACCTGAAGGGTGTTTGGATTCGTTTGGGCACTGGCCGGGCGTTGGGGGTGGTTTGGGGATGCAGCATCAGAATGTCCAGGATCAGACGAAGCTAGTGAAGCCTTGCCCCGAAGGAATGAGTCGCCTGGTTTACGATGTTTACGTTTCCGGACGGTGGCCCACATCACTACAGCCAGTCCCGACAGGGATTCCGGCAGGACCACGTGCATTTCTGCTACGTCGGAGATATCAACCCTGAGGTGGGATGCTTTTGCACTTGCGTTATGATGTACCTTACAGCCTAACTCTGAAATCTCAAGGATTCATAAAAAAGCAAAAAAAAGCAAAACCACACTCACAAAGGATGACCAGGAAATGCAAAAGAAATGCATAAAAAAAGCAAAAAAAAGGCAGCTGGTCAAAAAGAGTGCATATCAAAAAGCAAAAACATGCAACAGGAAGCCAGAAAAAAAGCAAAAAAAAAAGCAGAACAGCAGTTCAAAAAAAGCAAAAAAAATGCACATGCACGACCAAATTTCACACACCACCTTTTTTGTGCGATTTTCTTGCTTTTTTTTGCATTTTTTGTGCGATTGTTTTGCATGTTTTTTGCATTTTTTTGTGCGTTTTTTGTGCTTTTTTTGCGATTTTTTTTGCGTTTTCTCAAGGAAACGCACAAAAAATGCAAAAAAAAATCGCCAAAAAAACGCAAATACAAAGCAAAAAAAATGCAAAGGCAAAGACCAGAACGTTTTTGATCGCATTCGTTTTGCTTTTTGATTGCATTTTTTTGCATTTTTTGTGCATTGTTTTTGCATTTTTTGTGCCTTTTTTGTGCATGTTTTTTGCATTTTTTGTGCGTTTTTTGCATTGGTTTAGTGGACAAATGCGTTTTTTTTGCATTTTTTTTGCTTTTTTTTTGCATTCCAAGGCATCCTTTGGTGACTTGTTTTTGCGTTTTCTGTGCATTTTTTTCGGGATTGGTTTTGCATTATTTTTGCATTGTTTATGCATTTTTTATGTTTTGCTGTGTCATCAGAACTAGCTTTAGCGTACATCATAACACTTGCGATTGTGAATTGTACGTGAGCTACTGTGGCCGCAGGTCTAAATGTGGGGGATTCCATCGATTCGATCGGATCATTTATGAGAAAGAACAGAGAAACAGACGGAGTACAACTCCCCTTCTTCAGTATGGAAATGTTGCAGAAAGATCCAACACCTTCTGGGGTTTGGGTCCTTTTTTGCAAGTATCCTGACATGGATCGCTCATGGATGATAATAGCCTTGAAAAGCAGGTTTGCAAGCAAGTTTGTTGCATTTGCTATGCAAAGTGAATCAGCATGTCACTGGTTTAGAGGTCATCCAGGTCGTGTGTCTCGGAGGTCATGCGCCTGCTGGCCAATCCTGATGGCATGGGAGCTCGGGAAGAAGCTGTTCTTGATGGACATGGACATGGAGCAATACTGTAGATTCAATAGACGGGCATTGTTGGAATCACTCACACCTGAGAGGAGAGAAGTGCCTGATCTTTGGAGTCAGACCCCGCAGCCTTTCTGTGGTGCTGGAATCACTTCTCTGAGGCAATCTCCCAGAAGAGGATCCAAAGGCGAAGCCCAAAAAGGGCCAGGAGGCGCGCGGCCAGGCAAGAGAAAAATCATGAGCAAAAGCATTTATACTAATTACTGTAAGAGACCGCCTATATAGCACCATCAGATAGCTATATAGTAATGCCGTGAAAGTTAGAATCTGCGGATTTACTTCAAAAAAACACTATGCTTTGTACATCTTTGTACTATGTATATTTTGAACTTATACTTATACTATACCCATGCAGCTCCCGCTTCACTGGAGATACAAGTCCTCTCAAAGCACACGACTCACAAGACACTAGCAGTCGCTTCGCGTTGCTCAGGACGAACTGGTGACCTTGCAGAAGGGGTCAAAGATTGGATGCGTTACCACCGGTGTCAGCCTGAGCTCCAGCAGACGGCGAAGCCTGAAGTTCAGAAGCACACCAGGTCTGACGAGGATCGGCTGAAACCACGGCAAGTTGCAATCCCGGCTCTAATTGGTCATCCCAATTGTTTCGGCTCAGGCTCAAGCTGGGCTCAAGACCGATTCTCATTACTCAGTTGCACAAGGAAGGGCCAGATCTTCAATAGCATCGGACGAGGAGCAACCAGAGATTTGCCGCTTTAGCGAAGACGACCCGCGACTGCTTGGACGCCGGATGCAGAATGGACAATTCATGCACACGCAGGCCTTGCAAAGCTGGAGGAGGAAGGATGCAAAGCCCGCGAAGCTGCGAAAAACCCTCACTGTGCACCACCGCGGCCTCGCCGGAAGCTGGGTGAGGCCACACGATACGCCATCCAACGCATGGGAAACGTAATTATCGTAATTGCGACAAAGCCTCTTCAGCAGCCCCAGCGATCGTCAAGAAAGTGCCCTCGACAGGTTAGCAACTTACCTGCCGGCTTTTCAGAGCCAGCGGAATGAAGACCACTGAGTCACTGAGCCACTGTAATTTCAGATGTCTGTCTCCTTCTTTTGGTACCTGGCTGGTGGCGTCAGATGCAGACCATGAAGCAGGTGCAGAGGGAGAGTGAGGAAGGAGCTGGATGCTTGAGTGAATCTACAGCGTCAGAAGTATCAGGAGGTGTTTATTTTTTTGCTGACATCATTCAGTTGAAGAAGGGTTCATTTCCGAAGAAAAGGAACGAGAACGATCATTTCCGCATCACCATGGCGACTTGCTCGGTCCAAATATGGGCGTCTCTTCACCAGGCTGCTAAATAGAGTAAATAGCAAGGCAGTCAGTGACTGAATGAACATCAACCTATCAAGCAGAAGCTGATGGTGACGCACCCCCTAGTCCGTGCAAATTAGGGGAGTGAAACAAAGATTTATTCAAATATCTCATATCTCTATTATCATATATGTCGAAGAGAATGGCCTCTGAGTGGGCGCCACTATTTTTGTAACTAACATGAGAGTTATAACTATAACATGTGTCTCTCACAACCGAGGGCAAGTCCGACCGAGGTCTGCCAGCCATGACCCTGGACTCGGCCATGCTCCGAATGGCCTTGCTGAATGATCTGGAGGGCGAGGTGGTCCAGGCCACCCGGGATTCCATGAGTGTTGATTCTTTGAAGAGTTGGAGTGGGTTTCGCTCACAGCGTTCAAACAGGCCTTAAACATGGAGACTCGTATGGGTGAAGTGTTGCGATGCAGACTCGTGTAGTTGCAGTATGTTGCGGTAAGAAAGGCCTTGGTTCAGTTTCACACTTTGTTCCTCCGAACATGGACTACCTATATGCATGATTCATGGCGTTTTATGACCCGGAATATCACCGAGCGGACTGAGCGCTTCAGACCTTGGACGTACCAGCCCAAGTGGAGACCATCCCAAGCGCTGCAGGGGGTCCCAGGGAAGTCTCTCTGTGTCAAAGAATAAGAATAGACCTTTTACTTGACATCAGTAGCAGATAAGGAGTCCAGAGTCGAATGGATTGAATGTATATATATATATGTATATATATACAGCAACAACGGTCTTTGGTGTCACTGTTTCTTCTGAATTTGTGTGGACTTAGCGATTACATCGGATGCATATATAGATATATATTTGGAAATTGGGGAGTCCGGGAGTGAGAGTGCTATGACTGAATCCCCCACAATCATCGCAAAGTGTCCATTCATGGTGAAGACTGATCCCAAAACCACCCAGTCCTTGCGGAAAATGAACTTCCATAGATCAGTGGATCTTGGGAGCAAGAGGCTACTAGGGGCTCCTGGCCTTACTACTATGGATCTTATGGCGAAGCTGGCCACCCAGGATGGTACCGCCGAAGAGACGCACCTCGCAGCCCTCATCCCCGAGCCGTGCTCCCGGCCGATTCTCCACACGCACAGCTGCATCCCGCAGCGTCACCAGGGGATGAACTGACCTTTCCTGATTGCTAGTAGCAGCCAAGGTCTCATGAAAAGCAACGAAAGGTGATTGTCAGGGCGAATCAGTCACAAGGAGGATATCTCACAGGCTCCATGAAGGTAATGTGATTGCATGTGTTCTTCTTTTTTGTTTTAGGAGGCAGATGTCATTAAACACCAAGAGTATCCCAGGAAACCCTAAAAAACAATCCGAAAGCGAACCCCCCAGAAACCATGGATTGAGTAACCAATGTAGTCGAGGTACATTCTGAGTCATAGATTGGACGACTAGGTGGTTCCTCCAAGTTGATGCCAGAAAGAGGAGTCTAGCCAGACTCGAGAGCTTTTCAGCAGCAGGGCTTGGATCTCAATCACTCTTACAGCCAGCTCACTAGTGGACGAACCAATAGTTCGTCACGCTCGTCTCTTATCGTCTCTTAGTTGGCCCTGCCGTTTGAATCAGGCAGTTTCCAAGCTCTTTCATTCTACACTCGCCAGTTGTCTCTTGGTCTTCACATCCCAGCATGGCGTCCACGAGCTTGTCCAACACATCATGAACAGCAGAATCAAGGGCTTGTTTTTGGCCCGCTTTAGTCGGTCTACTCAACTGCTTCGCATGATCTCCGCACTGAAATCCTTTGCAAAAGACCTGTCCACCAGAACAGAAGAAGGAGTCCACTTGCTTATCCGCTGACATGAGACGGCCAGGCCTGAGAACCCAGCAGGTGGCCCTTGGTATGTGAAGAACTTCCAGGCAGGTTTTCAGATGACCTGTATGGCAGTATATGGCAGTTTTGGTCTTGATTTTTACATCAAAGACCTTGAGGATTAATGTCCCTCCTTTGATCAAGCCTACGTACATGAAAGAGATTTGCCCAGCCTCCAAGCCACAGCAATTTTGAAGAGTGGCACTCCATAAGAAGGATCTATTCTTTTGACAACGCCTTTCGTAGAAAGCTCTCCAATGTTGTTCAGGCAAAGTCTTTTCTCGCAGAAGTATTTTGTGACGGGACGACTATGATGGATCAAATTGAATCGATCTGTATGACCTTGATTCAAAAGAGGAAGAATCACGCAGTTGTATGTAGGCTGTGGTGAATCTTCGTGGTTTGGGCACTGTTTGTACTCGTACAACGCCCTCAGCGTTGACGAGGCGTCGCTAAACGGCCAGAGCTTTCGGGCGTGTCCGGAGCAGCCTCCGATGAAGCGGGAATCCCTGGGAGTTGAGCTGGGGTGTGGGCTGAGTGATTGCCATGAACTTCAACGTTGAAGCTATCGTGATCACATGAACAAGAAGACTATATAAGCTACTAGATGTTACTAGGGGTTCTTACAACAAGTTACGAGGAGTTCTTTGTGCAGGGATCACTCTGTCCGAACTTGAAGGTTCGAACTGACTGATGCTTGTGTTTTATCGCACCAGTCTATATTAGGCATAGCTATTTGTATTGCCGTATGTATAAATGAGTCCGGCCAAAAGTCTATAATAAAAACAATATAAAAGGGGTCGAAAGTAGCTTATGATGTTTTTTTTTAAAGTTAGATTATGCAGCGGGCCCCCAGCTAAACGCACCTATTCTGCAGCTGGGCGCTAGGTTTGCGGTAGACTTGCGCTAGTGTTTGCCTTAGAACGTGTTCAGAACCTCGTCAGGTTTTGAAAAGTGGCTGGCTACAAAATGCGCTAGCCGCGCGGTAGCACTGCGCTAGATCCGCGCTAGCAAACATTGCCAGATTCCAGCGGTGGACCCTTCCAAGGCTGACTCGCAACATGTCTTTTGTTTCAAGCATGGCTTGAAGCTCGGAGATCAGCTGAAAACGGTGCAGCGCTAGTGACGCCTCGTACAGTTTGGCGCCAATACTTGGTTGGTCCATGTTTCCTTCATTAACCAGCTGTGTGTGCCAAAAGTAAAGAAGATGTAGCGGGCCCCCATGTGAACACGACTTTCAGCCATTTTTGGAAGAAGACATTTCGACCAGGTCCCATACAATTTTTGGAGATTTGCTTTGCCAAGGTTGGGGTTGTGTTGGGCAATGGCAGCCATACATGACCAACCACTAAATATTTATTTTTGCGAAAAAAACGAAAAAGCAGCAGAGCAAAAGCAAATGAACATGCAAAAGCAGCACACTTCGTTTTGTTTTTGCATTTGTTTGTTTTCTCCTGGTACCACTTCTGCACTTATGAGGACTTTTACCCGTGAGCAAGATTTGCTGTGCACTCCTAGGAAACAACGAAGAAACGAAACAAAAACAAAAAAACAACAATAAAGCGAACAAAATGTGAAAATAAAACGAACACAGTGAAACAAAACGACAAACACGCACAGCTACTCTTTTTTGTTTGTTTGTTTGTGTTTTGCTTTATTTAACTATTTTGGTTTCTTGTATCTATGGCTGGCGCGCCCGACTCAAGGTTGGAGCTGCCACATGAGGGATAGACGACTCGCTGAGACCCTTGGACCTGAGACGGTGGATGTTTGTTTGTGACTCAGTGGGTTTGTCCAAGAGTCCAAACCCAAATCCACTGAGCATGTCTCATAGCCTTTATTACAAATGTATCATGGTAACCTGTCGAAGGACTCGCCTGTCTCTGATGGATCTCCGTCTCACTTGGTGAGTGGACAGGGCGAAGTCGGGCGATGCCGATTTTTCCTCAGCTGAAAGAGTTGCAGCGACTTGTTTTATTTAAGGGCTGCCGCCCCTGCCGCCGACCCCGGGATATACACCAACAACAGCAATCACAGCAGCAGTAGTAAGAAGAAGACCCAGAAGCATCACAAGATCAGAAAAACCACTAGCAACAGGCAGCAAGAAGCATAGTAGGAATGCCTCTGTTCTGGCTGTGCTAATAGACTGGCGGCTGTTTGCGGGGGCTTTGTTGGACAGCCCAGGTGCTGAGCCAGCAAGGCTTGTGCTGCGGCAGCCCTGGTGCTGACCGTAGCACTTCCTGTGGACGGCCGCAGGTCTATCTGCGTGGCTGGAGAATGGCAAGCAGAAGAAGAAGAAGAAGAAGAAGAAGAGGCAGAAGAAGAAGAAGAAGAAGAAGAAGAAGAAGAAGAAGAAGAAGAAGAAGAAGAAAAAGAAGAAAACGAAGTAGCAATGCCTCTGTTCTGGCTGTGCTAATAGACTGGCAGCTGTTTGCGGGGGCCTTGTTGGACAGCCCAGGTGCTGAGGCAGCAAGGCTTGTGCTGCGGCAGCCCTGGTGCTGACCGTAGCACTTCCTGTGGACGGCCGCAGGTCTATCTGCGTGGCTGGAGAATGGCAAGCAGAAGAAGAAGAAGAAGCAGAAGAATAAGAAGAAGAAGAAGAAGAAAAAGAAGTAGCAATGCCTCTGTTCTGGCTGTGCTAATAGACTGGCAGCTGTTTGCGGGGGCTTTGTTGGACAGCCCAGGAGCTAATTCTGGTCCAAAACGAGCCTCCCATGGTCGCACTTTGGCTGCCTAACGCCGCCTCTGAATCCCTAGAAAAAAAGAAGTTTGTGTCCATTTGTCTCGGTCATC